GGTTTTGAATTTCTTTTTTGCAACTTATAATTCTTTGTTAGCTATTAACACAAATATCACAAGACACAACATCTAGCACTATTGCTGTTGTCTCATATAGATTTTGTTTTTCTTTGAAATATTTATAATTAGTTCATTGCTTTTCTCTATGCTCTCCATGATTGTTTATCCTAACCCAATATGCATAATATGATTTTTTTTTCTCGTTTTGCACATAAGAGATAATGTCGAAAATCTGAGAAGACTGGAGTCAGCATAACATTTAGACCTCTTAAAATCGTTGTTGGTTTACTGAAAAACCTTTTTTTTTAGCGATGTAACTTCGATTCAAGATACTAACTTCAATGTATTGAACCTTTGTTAAGATTTCAGGTAAACAAAATCATCTCTTGATTCTTTTATATTCAATTTTGAACTGCATTATATATATAAAATAGGTTTTTGCAATAAGCTAATTAGCAAGCGTAATTATAAGTGGTTAAAACCATTATTCTATGTAACGTAGAATAACTTATTTTTTAATAAATAATTGAATTCTGAAGAAAATAATTGCTCAGTTTGTTTTTTTCGGGAAGCTTTAAGTTATACGCAGAGAAAAAAAGGATTTTCAACAACTCATAAAATTCTACAAATGTTACTAGTATTCAATGTGAAAGAACATTTATTTAATATTTATCAGCATAAATTGAAGAAAAACTTTTATTCGTAGAAATAAATATAATCTTTTTCTAACATACTTGATATTATTGATGAATTTGTTGTATCAATAGATAATGAATCACAAACAAACTCATTTGAAAGAATACTTGATGATAATAATTCATTATGTTCTTGTTTAATATTTTTTTTATTTTCATTCATTGTTGATGATATATTCATTTTATCATAAAGTTCACTTAATAAAATATTATCATTATTCATAGCTGATAAAAAAAATTGATTAATCATAATTGGTCGAAATTCATCGTTACGATTTTTTCGTAGTAATTTATTACGATCAGTAACAATAGATTTTTTTCGTTTCATTAATAAACGAATTTTTTTATTATTTGAAATTCGTTTTTCAGAAAAATTTTCTTCATTTATATTATTATTATCACCTTCAATATCATCTTCATCATCAAGTATTCGATAAATATTTTCATTTGTTGAGCGAAGTATTGATTGAGCTTTACGAGTTTCGGAATAAAGTGAATCAATACGTGCAGCATAAATTTTTGCTAAAAAAAAAAAGAAAAAAATCCAATGAAAATATAAAAATCTAATTTTTGTTTTATTGTTAATTATTACCTGATGTTTCAAGTGTTGTACCAACTGATTGAAAATTATTCATATGATCATCATCAAAACTTGTTGCTTCAAATATAGCAGGTAAATAATCAATAAGTACAATATCAAATGCATTTTTTGGTCCAATTTTATTTGAACGAAACATTTGTAGTGTTGATTCATGTAATTTTGTTAATTCTTCATCATTCATCGGTTGACTATCAACAAATGAATCTATATCTGTTGTTGATGTTATTGTATTATTATCCATTTTTGAAAATAGAAAAACAAGCAACTCGTATTATTATGTTATTCTATACTAATGATTGTCATGTTTGAAATTGAAAGAAGTTCATTACTTTGATTGGGTATTTATTTACTTGGATGGGATTTGCTTATTCTCAACAACTAATCGAAAATAATGTTTGAAAGATGTCACTATATGTCGATGATCGCATGTTGAGTAGATGAACAACCTGAAAACTGAAAAATGATGGCTTCTATTCGAATGGTCGTTTACGTACCAGTGGAAACGGACCTTGTTCTGACTGCCAGTTTTATTCCGTTTGCAAATCGTTTTCATATGGCCTGAAAAAAGTATCGAATGGTGTCTAATAGATAAGTCTTCATTATATTTTTTGTCTGTTTTTTAATTAGATCAATTTTTAATGTTTCATGGACCTGTTCTTTATTCATGTTTTTTTTTAAAGTTGGTTTCTTTTTGTTAATATCAGATACTAATTAACGTTTTTGAGTTAGTTGCAATATCGATAGATAAATTTTGTTGAGATCTATTCGACGAAGAATATTTTCTTGTTTAATCCATTGTTGATATTCACGTGTACACTATTCAAGTTATACTAGTAGAATATCTACATAGGATTTTCTTTGTATCACTTAAAGACTTTTACTGAAATATTTATCATGTAATGCACCTAATATATCATATTCAATCAAACATTGTGCTGAATGAAGCGGAACAATGTTCTGTATCGTCTATAGAGATTTAAATTGAATAAAAATCAACAATCTGCAAGTAGATCAAAAGTTTCTGCACTATCTGGAGAATTATTATGAACTTGAGCCATATGTTGATGCAAGTGTTTCTCTGCATGCCAGATAGTAGCAAAATTGCGGTTGTGGTACTTTTTTCTGCGAAACGAAATTTGATTTGCTTTGGTGATTGTGAGAAGAACTGTGTGACGAAACACAACAGTTACGATCATTATTGCACAGTTTGTAGATGAAGAAGAACAAAATGAGTTGTGAATAGCTATGTACTGAGATTGATAAGTTGCTAGCAAAGAGAAGCTTTTCATCTCTTTCAATTGTACAAACGTGTCGCATGATTGTAGGACTATAGCAGCTACTACTGACTTCATCAAGATTGTGTTATTCATCTGTAATTATCTTGATAGGATAAAGTAGTTGTTGAATTCTACCCATTCCTCTCTAAACAAGAAATGATACACTACGGAAAGACGTTGATCTCTTTTATTTATGATTTTGGTTTCAATGTGACGATCGACACAAATTCGTTATTGTATAAATTTTATTCAGAGGATAACAGATGCATTATGTAGATGAATGTGTAGTCATCTGTTATATCATTGATTGAGTAAAATTCGGCGGGTATTGGCATATCACTGAACTCACATGTTCGCTGTCATATGAATATTGATTGGATACAACTAATGAGATTATTTTTCTTATAAGAAATCAATACATCGTTATTAGTGTACCAACAGAGTTGTACATGCAACAATAGCGAACTAAGATATCTATAGTTATTGTAGGAAATTTCTTACTCTTTAAAATTGGTCAATGATGAAAGCCGAAATAAACTTATTGATCGCTACTACTTTCAGCATGCTTTTAACCTTTGTACTGTACTGCGTTTTGGTACAAACGAGAGCATATCATTGGTTAATTAAACCACTCTTTATTAATATGTTTATTGATCATAATCAAATAATACGATACTGGTTTGATCACCGTCCTAATAATAACTTAGGATAAATGTATATATTGTTTATGATGAATTATTAATAAAAATTTTTATGTCTACGGTTATCTTTGATGGGCGCTCTTATGAGGTGTGGATCTTACTTCTAGGTAAACTCTGACATCCATATCAACGTCTACACTCTGAACACGGCATTCGAGGTATGTATAGGGGTCGGTAATATCTCAAATATAATATTCCGCGACATTCCAATCGCTCACGAGTGAATATGACCAGGAAAGAGACTGGATGATTTCGACAGCTTTCATTCTAAAATACTGTTTTCATCGATCGTCAGAAGACCTGGAGAATAGACGACTTTCTGTTGTGCATCGTTTACCTGTATTAGTTAAACGTAAAGACTTGAAAATAAATAGAAGCTAGAAATCAAAAAGCACATGCTTTCTTCGCACTTCTTTCTCTCCATACACATTGGTTCGCCTGAAATGTTTGTGTAAAAGTGCATATCTCGAGTGCTGAAAAGTGAGTGTTAATACGCGTAATATGACAAAAATTTTATAACTGCTGTATCTACGAGAACCTAAGCAGCTGCGTCAATCGAAGAGATTAGATTGAAGTATAATTGAATATGTTTTCTTACATGCTTGTTGATCGAATACAAGATGAGTATCATTGGTGCTGCTTTCCTACTCCTTACTTTTGTTAAGAGCCAGGCGAATGGAAATCCTCTTTTATTTCTGCCTGAACATATGTTACCACCGCCTGACACGACTTTCACTTTGGGCTATGATCTTGTGATGGGAACTGTGCGAATCCCTAGCGTCTATGCTGTTCAAGCTATTTGTGCTCCAGAGTCAACAGTAGTAATTGGATATCGCAACTGGTTTGAGTCTGAATATGGAGCAACCTATATAGTCTCGCTGACAAACGGCACCTATTATCAAGCAAACGTCGACTTGAATACGCGTAAGTGCATGAATGTCTTAGTTGAAACAGTCAATTGTGTAGGATGGTCAAGTGTCGAAATGCTAAAATACGATAATTGGTGTCAAATTCGTCCAGTCGACACACAACTGATGAGTCAC